ATGACTGACATTGAAACAAAGTTATCTGTCACGAATGTAATTTAATAAATTGAATATTCAGACAAGAAAATTTATATTATGTGTGATCATATACATGTCTTAGCATTGCCAGTCAATGTCGCTAGACAAATCAAGAACACAATCAGAATAGATTTGGCATTTTGGGGATGACATCGTAGCATCAGTCCTTCGACCTTCTGTAAAATGACTTCAAAGAAATGCCTAATTGATAAATTATTGCATTTAATATATTAAAAGCATCAACGGTTCATGCAAATAATTTAATTACAGTCTCTCTTTGTGGGACAAAATGAAATATTTTACAAACTGTGCTCGACAAAGATGTGGATAAATAGAGCAGTAGCCGTGTATGAAAGTTAATTACAGATGCACATATTGTCATGACAACTGCATCATCACCACCGTGGAGGAAATCAGTTTGCCATCAGATGGTGATATCCAGGAAGAGTTGAAGTGTGCCCTCTACAGGCAAAGCTTAGAAACTAATACTATATTATCAGCGTTAATAATGTAAATCAATGAATGTATTGTGTTTTTTTTCATGTTCAATTTAATCCACGAATCACCAAATATGTTAAAATTAAATGTAATGACAATTTCACAAAATAGTGCTGTTTATAGTCTGCACTTTCCTTCAGAAGATTGCGACAAAAATAGCCAAATTTTAGTAAAAACTGATAATTGACTCAAATTTTGTCTGTTGGCTTCAAACTTAGGGTAAATTCCTAGAAATATTCAAGAATATAAGAAAAAAGTGCAGACAAATTTGGCCAAGAAAATCTGGTGGAAAAGTTAAAAATAAAGTTTAATAGAGGACACTAGGTAGTGCTGTTCAAAAGATTCCCCAACCATAGCTGTTTTTTTGAAATACATATTACCGATATTTAGCGAACTCAAAAACCAAAATTAAAAAGAAAGATGAAAATGGTGATCTTATGATCAGAAGTTTTTGTTTGATACTCTCATTAAAACATTTTTTCCAAAGTATGCAATATTTAATTTTCCATTACCGAAATATACTGTAAAATACTTTATTTTAGCTGGATTTAAATTTCGCTGAAAACACTTTTTAAGTGATTTGTATGGAATTTATTTTCACTGATTTTTGACGAGTTGAATGTAAAACATAGGGAAAAATGTATATTCGCTGGATTTTATTTTCACTGAATCATCCCTTCAGCAAAAATTAATTCCAAGCGAAAATAAAGTATTCTACAGTATTTAAAATACAACACATACCACTTACCGGTATTTTGTTTTCATTTTTTTTTTACTCTTTGCAGTTCAGGCTGATTATTAGATATATCATAATCAATGTCTGTTACACATACTTTCTGTGATCTTCTAGTCAAACCCATCATTTTTAATGTTTTCTTTACATAGATTTCTTGTCAATTTACTTTATACAAAGTTTTCCTCCGTGTGATAAGATCAACACACACTTCCACACTTTACCTCAGTGTATGCGAGCACTATCAGAAGTGTGTGCAAGTACACTGTAGCCTCGCTATAACTAACTCTTTGGGGGACATACAATTAGTTTGTTATAGTGAAATGTTCATTATAATGAAGTACATAATACATTGGGTTTGTTGTGAGCGGGAGACACGCTATGTGTTCATTATATCAGGAAGTTCATTATAACGGTGTTCATTATACTGAGGTTACAGTGTACTACAATGTTAGTAAAAGTTACATCCTGTAGTCAAAATCATCCTCAAATATACCTCAGTTAACTTGACTATCAGTTATATTTTGCTTCCATATTGTGCAGTGCATAGTTGAATTTGACGAAACATTTTACAGTTCATTCAGCATAACATATTTATTTCTGTACAGACAAAGACTAGAGCAGCCAAGTGAATGCGCTTATTTTACCAAATGGCACATTATAATTTCAATGTACACATAACTTTGTAATCCATAGTATTCGAGTACGGTTATGTTACAGGCATTTTAACATTTTTTTGGATAGCTCTTTTCCTGTGTGTGAGCCATAGAAACAGAGAGAAGAAGAATGTAGAAGTACAAAGAATCCTGAATTATTCTGGAAAGGGAAAGCTCTCCTAGTTGATAAAAGAACAATATTTTTGAATTCAGATTTAAAAAGTATTATTAAAACTCACCACCAAATCGCTACCATAACTAGGACTTCAGATCAGATCAGATCAGATCAACAGTGCCCTCTAGTGGCATAACAACATTATGCTTTTTGTAAGTCTAAAGATGTAGGTTATTTTTGTGACATGAATGGGTGAAAGCAAAGTCATGATTTTGATTTTTAGTTCAATAAATACAATTTTTTTTTTATTTTGTATGAGTAATGAATGTTTACACAACAAATTTGTCGCTGTGAATGCTTTCATCCACCTACATCAATTACAGAACTGCTGTCACAAGAGGGCATACTCCTAATAGGATTATTGTTATTTTTTTAGGAAATAACATTTTATGCTTGTGCGATATTCTTTAAATCAACACATTTATTAAAAACAATCAACATGGCAACTTACCTTTTGGGAACACTTGTAACCATGGTAATGTGTATCACAGAGACATTCCATCTGTGCTGGTTTTGTTGAAACATAGTGAGAATTATGGGAACATAATCCTGCAAAAAATGAGATATATCTGTTACTATATATCTTGATGTCTATTCAAATTCCATAATTTTGGTGATACATTTTTGCTTGTCTTAATCAACCATTTTCAGGAATTTCTAACCACATTATGTAAAGCTTAAATCGAGGGAGTTGTCACCTGCACATGCGTCAGATGGTCATAGCATGTCATTGTTTACAAACAAATATATACCCATGAGCCTTTGCGTTTTAGTGTGTGGTGCTATCGTCAATTGTGACTCAATTCCCGCACGTGCACATGTGACGACCCTCTCGCTTTAATAAAGTCATTTTAGTAAAGCTTGTCATACAACAATATTTTCATGAGCTGGCAATTGCATACTTTTGAATAAACTTACAGTGAAAACCATTGAGATTTGGTCATTGAGAATGTTCTGGAGTTTGTAAGATCAGAAGAAATGATAACCATACTTTGTTTCAAAATATTGATTACCAACAGACTTCTGTCTACAGTCTAGATGTATTTACATCATATTTATGTGTAAATATGTCAGGACTGTTGACAGAGCTTTTAAGGTTTCTAGGCTTAAAATATCCAGAGCATTCTTAATGAAAAATTCTGGGTGGTGTTCACTGTAAGTGACAATATATATTGTCATACGAATACAATATGAATGGAGCAGTGTTATTACCTTGTAGTGTCGCAAAAATTTTTTTTTTTCTTACATGAGGTGGAGTTATGATCAGGGTGTACAT